CCCCCCCTCACACGCACACACACTCTCTCTCGCGCACATGGACAAACTCACAAATACACCCTTGCTTGAGAGAGGGGCCGCAGCTCTTGCCCCTCGAGCTGCCTGTTGGGCGCTGGTGAGGCGTCGCCACCCGGCACGCGCGGGCGCATGTGGCCGCATCTGGTGGCAGGTAGTTAAAAGGGCGCGCAGGTGGGGGGCCCTGCGGCGCGCAGGGCTCCCCATTCCCCCCCATCACTCTTCCCCCTCTGTCTTTCTGCCTCCCTCCCCCTCCCACATACGCATCAACAAAAATGGCCAAGTGGGGCCAAGGTGACCCTCGTTGGATCGTCGAGGAGCGTCCGGACAGCACGAATGTCAACAACTGGCACTGGTGCGTAGGGCCCACACATGGAAGCACACCCCCAACATGAGAACCTGCGCCTGCACCCTCCCCCCCCCCCCCCCCACACACACACACACACACACACTCCCCCTTCGCCCCGTCTGGCGCGGCCCGCTCCCCCCTAACACCCCAAGACGTCTATTCCCAGGTCCGAGACTAATGTCTACCCCTGGGCGAGCGAGCATCTCGGCAAGCACTTCACCCAGCTCGAGGTGCCGAGCTCGGACCCCGAGTGGACTTTCCTGATCAAGTCCCTGGAGAAGGTCGAGGGCGATGTGTCGCTCATCAACCGCAAGGGGCGCATTCGCACGATCTTCGACCTGACCCTGAACTTCCAGTGGAAGGGTGCGTGCATTTCCCTCCTCCCTCTTCCCCTCTCGCCGATCATGCGCCCTCTCGTCCTCCATTAAGCTGACCCCCGACATTGTGACACAGCCACTCTGGCAAGTGATCCTGAGACTACGGTTTCCGGCAATCTGAAGCTCATGGACTTCAATCAGGAGGAGACTGCCAGCGATGCCGATGTGCGTGTGCCTCACAACGCTGCCCAATGCCCGGCCATCCTGTGCGGCCCCTCCCCTTCCACCAAGCAACCGGACTGACCGCCTATGCTCGCTGCTCCGCACCCTCCCTTTGTCGTGCCTCCCCTCCCCCTGGGCCTGGTCCCTCCGGCTCAGTTCAATATCACCGTGACCGGCAGCTCGCCGCACGCAACCAAGCTGCGCCAGCTGGTTCGCCGGGATGTTCTCGGTGCCGTGGTTGGCTTCCTGATCGGTGCCTTCATGGAGGACCTGAAGGTCCAATTCACCGGGAGTGTCCTGCTGCCGACCCACTCGACCTCCTCGGGGGACCTGCCGGCCGCGCCGAAGGCCGCTGCTCCCACCCCGGTTCCGGCTGCGGCCACGGCGGCCTCGACGGCCCCGGCCCCGGCTGCTGCCAAGAAGCCCGCCGCCAAGGACACTGTCTCGGTGACGGTGACCGCTGATCTGCTGGCCCCGCCGGAGGAAATCTTCGATGTGTTCACTCGGGCCGAGCGCGCGCGCCCCTGGGCCCAGAACGGTGTGGTTCTGTCCCCGGTGGAGGGCGCCCCCTTCACCCTGCTGAATGGCAGCGTTGCTGGGGAGATGGTTTCCCTCGACCGCCCGGGGACCATCATTCAGAAGTGGCGTCTGAGCTCGTGGCCTGCCTCGCAGGCGGCCGACGCCAAGATCACCCTGGTGCCTGGCGAGCGCCCTGGGTCTCCGACCAAGGTGACCGTCAAGCTGGTCGGTGTGTGCCGTGAGGACCAGGAGCGCGTGCGTGCCTGCTGGAACCAGGGCGTCTTCGAGTCCATCCGCCGTGCCTTCGGCTGGGGCTCGGCCCAGATCTGAGTAAAGTGACGAGAGTTCACGGGCAGACCTCCGTGCGTGGCGGCCCCGCGAGAAAATGTCCACATGCGTGTATGCATGGGTGTCTGTCTTGCCGGGTGCAGAGGCAAACCATGTCAGCCTTGGGTGGACAAGTGGGAAAGATGCACCCCCCTCCCCCCCCCCCTCCCGGCTGCCGTCTTCCATCCCCTCTCCTCCCCTATGTTCTCTGTCCCCCTTTCTCCCTTTGCAATTATAAAGCCGTGCAATATGTGCGTGTATCGCCTTGTGGGGGGGCACATACACAACACCGCGTGTTGCGCCCGGCCATGCATGTGCGCACATGTACGCATGCATATACGCACATGCCTGGTTGTAAAAATCCTGCCATACTTCAAAATAGATGACTTCATCACTCCCCGACAGGCCTTCCCCGCGCCCCCCCCCCCCCCCCCAGCCTACACGCGCGCCCTTGCCAGGTGATGGATGTGATTGGAGGAGCCTCTGGCAAAAGGGGGGAAAGAGAAAATGCGCAAACGCCTGGGAGGGTCGCGTGGGTCGCCGCCCAAGATGGGGGCTGGTGTGTCGTGTCTCATGTGCAACCCACATACACAGGGGGGAGTAGAGAGAGAGAGAGAGAGAGACACACACACCAGGAGCCACAACCACAGGAGCCCCGAAAAGAAAAGAAGACACACGCGGCGAGGAGAAACACACAAGAACGGGGGGAGAGACCGGGGACAACACCCCGCAGGAAAGGGGCGAAAAACAAAGGACACACAAAGGGAGGGGGGGGGGGCGGCGTGTTTGTCAAACGCACGCGCGTGCAGGCGGCCCAGTCCCCCCCGGCCCCTGGAAAGGGGAAAGGGAGGCCAGTGCGCCTGCACACAACGAGCCAATTTATTGGACGGCAACCGGCACGCACGCATGCTCACTCCCTCTGCGTCTCTCCCGAAGGAGGGGGGAGGGGGCGCGCGGAAGAGGGGGAGATGCGCACGGGGGCAGGACAAGGGAAAGGGACTCGAGCATTGTGTGGCAGTGGGGGGGAGAGAGGGAGAGCCACTCAATGCACGTGCGCAAGGCAGGAGAGTGAAGGCACACGCCTCTCTCGCTCAAGGAAGGAAGTATCTCCACCGGGGGGGGAAGGAGGGGGCACTTACTTCTTGTTGGCGATGAGGGTGAGACCGCACTTGCCGCAGTAGATGCGGTTCTGCTTCTTGTGGTTGGCCATGAAGACACCAGCACCGCAAGTGGGGGACTCGCACTCGCGGTTGAGGCGGGTGACGGCACCACCCTCAACCTTGTAGTACTTGAGGACGGCAAGCTTGACCTTCTTGGGGGTCTTCTTGATCTTCTTGGGGGTGGTGTAGGTCTTGCGCTTGCGCTTCTTGGCACCACCACGCAGGCGGAGGACAAGGTGGAGGGTGGAGTCCTTCTGGATGTTGTAGTCCGAGAGGGTACGGCCGTCCTCGAGCTGCTTGCCGGCGAAAATCAGGCGCTGCTGATCAGGGGGGATACCCTCCTTGTCCTGAATCTTAGCCTTGACGGCATCGATGGAGTCAGAGGGCTCGACCTCGAGGGTGATGGTCTTGCCGGTGAGGGTCTTGACGAAGATCTGCATCCTGTTGATGGGAGGCAAACGAGAGTGGGGGAGGGAAGACCGCCGAGGCAGGGGCAAGGTGAGGAAGGTTAGAGGCGGGGGAGGGGGATGCCACAGCAAAGCGGCTGGATCAGGGGGGGGGGGGGGGAGGGGGGGAAGGGGTGACGCGACAGGCGACAGGCAGCGTGGCGATGGGCGACCAAGATGGCATGGGAGGCACGCGCGCCCACGAGCGCAAGGCAAAAGGGGAGAAACAAAAGGGATGTGGAGAGAGGTCATGGAGGGGGTGGGGGGAGAGGAGATAGATAGAGTGTGTGTGTGTGTGTGCGGAGGGCAAATGGAGGGGGAGATGAGAGGAGGGGAGGGGGAGGACATACTTGCTTTGCCAACGCCTTAGCTATCTGGGAGAGCTGTCATAGGATGGATGGCTGGGACCGGAAGGGCTGGCGCTCAGGGCCAGCAGGCGCCGGTTTATATACTCGAGGGCCATGCTGCATTCGGGGGGTGCTCTGCGCTCGGGGTCGGCCAGAGCAAAGCCCGCCAGAGGTGGGGGGGGGGGAGAGAGAGGGCCGGAAGCCGAAGCGCCCGAGAAGACGAAAATATGGCAAGACACTCGCGGGCGGCACCCCCCCGTCCGCGCCCCCACGCATGTGTCTCTCCTCCCGGCAGGGGGGGAGGGGGGGGGGGGAAGAGCCCACGCGCGTGGGCCCCGGAACATGCCATCGGGGTCGTGCTCCGTCGCAGGGCATTCGTCTGGTGTGAGAAAGAACACCAGTCCCCCCTCCCCCCCCTGCCTCTGCCTCTACCTCACAGGAGAGAGACCCGTAATGTGCCGTTTCAGGTTTGCCCTCGGTCGCGCACAAGCACCGAAGGGCCCGTACCTAGGGCGTTTTTGTATTGCGCCGCGCGTGGCAGGGACTGGCTTGCACCGCGCGGCGAACTCGGTGGTGAAGAAGAGGACACAGGCGGGGGGGGGGGGGGGGAGGATATCCCAGAATGTCCGGTATTAAACCCGCCCACGCCTGCGTGGCGGCGCACGCACGCGCAGACCGCGGAAATACATGTAACCACCCCTCAGACGTAGGGGCGAGGATTGCCATGACCATTCTGAGGGTCACGGCCTGGGGTTAGGAATCAAGGTGCAATAACCCTCGGGAGTCTGATGGGACCAGATCACGTCTCGCGAGATGCTGAAGCTCCCCCTTTCGATATTACGTATTAATAAATACTCCTTTTTAGGCTCGAGTTTCGGGCCGACGAGGGGCCTTTCCCTCTTTCTCACCCAGGAGCGTTGCGCACCGCACCCATGCTCTGGAGGCAGGCGACCCTGAGCGATGGTTCCTGAAGGATGGCCCCGGGGGCGCTGCTTGGATGTTCTATTCATTTTACGTAAAGGGCCTCCAGGTTCGCGGGGTCTCCAGGGCGGGGGGGGGGGGAACTGAGCACGTCCTACATGCACATGCTTGCTCTCTGACCCCCCGCTTGCTCTCTGACCCCCCTCCCCCCCATCGTGCGTTGTCTTCAGGAGCCGGCCAGGATAGGAGTCACTGCTTCTTGGTGCTTTGGTCCGTCCTCGGGAAGGGGGGGGGGCGGCCACTCGGCAGCCGGCTCCGTCGCGAGCACTGAACACAGGAGGATCGGTGTAGGGTGGTGCGTGCCAAGGTGGGGTGCTCTCCCCGTCGGGCCGGATGGGCTGCCTGGTGTCGATGTTCTTCTCTTCTGCTGGTCTGCGGCGTCGCACACACATGGGCCTCGCCCCCTGCCCAGGGCAGAGGCACTTCCCGTCACCTCTTGTTGAGGCGAGTTCCGCTTTGGCCGACCGAGATCGCAGCGATCCCCAGCGCATCCCGCACGCCATCCCCCCCTCGCCACGCAACGCGGGCGCCCCCCCCGTTCGACCGTGCGGGGGGTCGCTCCCCAGCGCGGGATCTTCCCTTGGAGGGGGGGTCGCTGGGCGACCCGAGCGGGGGGCTACGGGGCGCGACGGGCGGGGCGAGGCGGGCAGGGAGGAGGGTGGCGGGGGTAGTTGTAGGGGCGTCCAGTGCGGCGCATCCGTCTGGGGGGGGGGGGATGCAAGGCCTTCCTGGCTGGCCTGGTCTTCGGCCGAGGCACCCGCGTCAGGCCCCACACGTCAAGTTCAGACTATCCGGCCCGTGCGCTTGCCATTCCGTGCCCCTCTCCGGCGCCAACTCACCGCGACCCACGCACTTGGCCGAGGCCGAGAGAGGCGCGCCCCACCACAGGCGCGCCCGGCGGAGGTGAGGGGGGGGGGAGTGACCGTGCGCCCCCGGCCCGCCCCCGTCCGCGCGCGCCCCCCGTGTGGCGGTGGGAGGGGGCAGAGAGTGGGGGGGGGGCTGAGAGAGTGCCCAGCAGCCTGCGCGCCGGATCCTTGTGCTCCGGCTGGAGGGTTATTTTTGTGCCTCTCCTCCCCGGCCAGGCACCCCAGCCCGCTCCCTCTCAAGCATTATTGGATTTGTTTTCGCCGTTCCAACGCCGTTGAGTGCTTACCAATAATGGTTCGCTTTCTCTCCCCCCTCCTTTCTCTCTCTCTCTCTCTCTCTCTCTCTCTCTCTCTCTCCCTCTCTCGCTCCCCCCCCCCTCCGCCCACTATGCATGCCTCTTTTTCGCCGCGCCATTCCGCGCCCCTCGCGACGTGTCTGGTTCGCCGCTCGTGCCTGTGCAGCCCTCCCCGCGCCCGCCCATCCATCCTGTGGCCTCTCCGGGCCACACCCACCTCGATGATGTCGAGCATGCGATGGGGCCGCGTGCGCTTTCGTGTCCCCTCTTGCGCGTTTGTGCGCGCCCCCGAACGCGGGTGAGTGGGTTCCCCCGCGCGCGGGCTCCCTCGCATGGGGGGCCGTTGGGTTTCTCCCCCGTGAGCCGGTGGCGGCGCGTGTGTGTGTGTGTGTGTGTCTCCCACGCAGCGCGCGTCCATTCAGTCGGCCCCTCCTCCGGTCCTCTGGCTGGAGGGGAGAGGGGGCAGCGGTTGGCGGCCCGACACAGTGGCGGCTCTCCCCTTTTATATGCGCCCACTTCAGGCCGATTGCCCTCGCCTCTTCTTCCTCCCTCTCTGACGCCTCCTCTCTCCTCCTCTCCCCCTCCCCCTGGCCATGTCCTCCTCTCAGTCTAAGGTTGCCACCAAGGGCAAGATGCCCGCCACCGCCTCCAGCGCTGAGACCCCCTTCGAGTCCCGCCCCAAGAACTTCTCGATCGGTGGTACTGTCCAGCCCACTCGCGATCTCACTCGCTACGTCAAGTGGCCCAAGTACATTCGCGTTCAGCGCCAGCGCGCCGTCCTCAAGGCCCGCCTCAAGGTCCCCCCCACCCTGAACCAGTTCAAGAAGACCCTCGACAAGAACGGTGGTGCGTATTCGGCTTCCTCCCCTGCCTGTGCCCCTCTCCCTTTCCCTCGCCCGAGACGCCCCCTTCCTGCTGCTTCTCCCCCCTCGTCTGCCATCTCGCACGCTGGAGTGCCTGTGCCTCATCATCGGGCGCATGGGGGAGGGTCTCTGCCATTCATCACCCATCGGATGCATTCTACATCCGATTCTCCTCTCTCTCTCTCCATCTCTCTCCGTGTGCCGGTCGGCAGTTTTTCTAATGTCCCCCTTCCTCCCCGTCTCCTCCCGCCCGGGCACACACACACGCACACACGCACACACACACACGTAGCCGTCTCCCTGTTCAAGCTCCTCAACAAGTACCGCCCCGAGACCTCTGTTGAGAAGAAGGCCCGCCTCCAGGCTATTGCCCAGGCCAAGGCCGACGGCAAGGAGCCCGAGGCTACCCCCAAGCCCGTCTACGTCAAGTACGGTCTGAACCACGTCACCGCCCTCATCGAGGCTAAGAAGGCCAAGCTCGTCGTCATCGCCGACGACGTCGACCCCATTGAGCTCGTCTGCTGGCTCCCGGCCCTCTGCCGCAAGATGGACGTCCCCTACGTCATCGTCAAGGGCAAGGCTCGCCTCGGCACTGTCGTTCACATGAAGAACGCCGCTGCCCTCGCCATCACCGACGTCCGCCCCGAGGACGCTCAGGAGCTCGCCACCCTCACCCAGCTCGCCAAGGCCAAGTACAACGACCGCTTCGACGAGGTCCGTTCACAGCGCTCCCCGCCCTCTCCTCTCTCCCTCCGTGTGCCGCCCCGCCCTCTTGCGCGCACGCGCGCGCGTGGGACCCTCTTTTTCTCTCCCCCTCGGCCACTTCGCCCCCTTTCATCTGTCTAACCCCGTTCCTCCTCGCGCGTGTGCCTTCTCTCTCCCTCCCCTTCCTCTCTCCTCCTCCCCCCCCGGACATATATGCATGCTGTTCACAGGCCCGCCGCCACTGGGGTGGTGGTGTCCTGGGCTACAAGTCCCAGCAGGCCATCATCAAGCGCGAGCGCGCCAAGGCCAAGGAGCTCAACACTGCCTAAGTGTCTGCGCACTCTTTGTCTTGCTGTGTTGTCGCCGCCCCGCTGTGCCGTCTCCTCCGCCCGGGGGTGTTCTTTCCCATCCCCGAATGGAGGGCCTGTGTTGCGATGTGTGAAATATACTTCATCTCCAATCCTAGATAGGACAAAAATGCTCTCATTTTTTTGTCATCTTTCTCCCCTGTCTTGCTTTTGCTGCTCTGCTCTGCGCCAAGGGAGGGGGGGGGAACTGTGTGCCTGTATGTGCCTGTGTGGCGGGCAGCGGCTCCCCCCGCGCAATGTAAAAGATGCACGTCGTCGTGCTGAGAGGCGTCTCCTCACTTGCCTGCGGGGGGGGGGGGAGACGTAAGGCGATCGCCTTTTTCGGGCCGAGGCAAAAAAAAAGCCAGGCTTCCTCGCTCTCTCTCTCTCTCTCTCGCCTGCGCAAAAGCCCAGAGACTGCGACGGTCGCCTCTCCCTGTCGCGGCTGCTCAACTTTTGCCCCCCCTGTCGCGCAAAGGGAACATACTATGGCCAGGGGAAAGAGCGACCGCCGCCTCGAAGTGCTGTGTCGTGTCTCTTGCCTGCGCAGTGTGTGCCCCTCCGCGTGTTGTTCCCCCAATCGCATGCAACCAAAACACAATACACGGGGAAGGGAGGGCCGGGCAGTTCTTCACCGGATGGCAAAGTGCGGGGTCTGCTGCTTTCAAGCAGGGCGCTCCCCTCGCCTGACGGTGGGATCGTGCGCTTGTCTCCGGCACATCCGGGCGAAGGGTGCTGATGGCCCCCCCGGAGATGCCCAGGGCACCCCTGGACAAGTGCAGCCCCCGGCCGTGCTGAATAGTATGCCGAGCTTCTCACCTACACGAAGTCGCAGAATACAGGCGCGATCAATACTTAACTACCTGCCGTTCTGATGTGCCAGAATATCCGCGGTCCTGTAACTGGGGGTGATCTCCTTGCTCGGAGGCATTCCCCTGCCGAGCTCGCTCCGGGGCCTGGCTGATGATCGTGGCAATCAAAGTGGATGGCGCGCAGGCGGGAGGAGACGCCAAGCTCACCCGCCGCCTTGGAGGGCTCCTGTCTATTTCAATTTTACTCAAGGACATTTTGGGTGCGAAGGGAGCCAGCCGGTGTCCACGCAGAAGGGGGAGAGGGGGGGGGGGGGGGTAGTTCAGATCTTCCCGGCCAGCCGGGTGCGACCACGGCCGCGCGACCCCCCTCCAGCCTTGCATGGCGTGACCGGCGGCTCTAGCAACTCGGGTTCGGCGGCCGGAGGAACAGCATCCACCCCAGCAGGGCCAGACTGCAAGCTGGCCTCCTTGTCGACATCGGCCTCATCGTCGTCGGTTTGTCGCTCTTCGCCATCGGACTCGGTGTCGCTGTCGCTGGTTTCACTGCTGCCGCCCGGGGGGCAGGGCCCCGCCGGAAGAGGGCGACACTCGGAGATGCAGCGGAGGATGTCCTGAGCTTCAACGAGCTGAGCTGGACCGCGCGGTCCGGAGGCCGCTGCCAGCAGAGTCTCCGCAACCTGGGCGTCACACTCGCGACTGTCAACCAGCATCAGGGGCCGACTGAGATCCAGCTGCTCCAGGGGAACTGGTGTCATCTGCCGGGCCCGAGCCCTCTGGCGAGGGCTCACACGCCGGGCAAGGCTGGCCGCAGCAGTGGCAGCAGCCAAAGCACCCGCGGTCCCCGCACGTCCCCAGCGAGCGGGCGAGGGCGTGCGCAGGGGCGAGGCGGTTTGCTGCAGCAGTCCCGGCGAGTCGCGCTGAGTGATGATCCCGCCAGCCAGCGGCAGGAGCGAGGCCATCTGGTGCCGCAGCCCCGCCGGAAGCAGGCTGATATCGAATGTCGTCCCGCGAAAGAGCCCCATGGTATTGGAAGTACGCCCGGTCCGGGCGAGCTCCGGCCCGCGAGTGATTCCGCAGGTTCGGTCACCAAGAACCTCGAAGGGGCTCTCAGCCAAAAGCCGGCCGCGGCGGCAGGACTCCGAGAACCCTGTGCGATGTGGGCGTCAAACGAAGGGGAGGAAGGTTGAACGGGGGACGGGAGGAGGAGGGGGGGGGGGGAGGGCACAACGAAAGGCAGGGGAAAGGGAGCACCACAGGTCAGTGGCGGCCAGGTGGTCAGAGGGCGCACAGCGATGTGGCACGCACAGAATTCATCAACAATCCATATTCCCCCGATGGCCAAAGCCTGGAGGTATTTGCCCGTGCGCTTGCAGGTCCGGAGCTCGGCCGATCGGGACAGGGCATCAGCTGTCGACATGGCCGGAAGCAGGGAGGAGATGATATCCGTCGAGCACTTGGCTACCAAGTGCGTGACAGCCAATGTGTCGGCGGCGTCCGCTAGGACAGCCGACGGCCGGGGGGATGCACGCCCGGCGGAGCGGCCCCGGCCAGGGGTCTGGCCGGGGCCGCTCGGTCTCCGAACACTGGCAAAGGCATCCTCAAAGTCATCATGCACGCGAATGCGCTCGGCCAGCCCGGCGCGAGCATTGTACAGCGAGTGTTCCAGGATGGCTCGCTCATCCTGCCGGAAGCCCGAGAAGATGACCACCGCATCTTGGATGGCCGAGCGCCGAGGAAGACCCGCGGACAGAGTGGAAGTCTCCTGACTGGGGGGGAGTTCCACCAGGGGCTCGGCTCCATTTCCCCGTCCCCCTTCTTCCTGACTGGAAAGGGAGGAGGATGTGAGAAGGGACTCCGGCACCGGGAGGGTGGGGGTGCTCGGCTGATTGGTAATGTCTGACGGCAGACGTTGCGACCGGGCAGCCCGTCGACCGAGGGCGGAGGCATTGCGCGGCTCCCGTGTCCGGGGTGTCGAGGGGCCAGCCTCATCCTCGGTGGTGGGCTCGTTGGTGGAGGCCTCCATGCTTGAAAGGGGAGAGGCCAAGCGCGGGCGCTTTGCCGGGCGCCCGCTCGCGGATGCATCCGGCGGGATTTCCGCAATTGGGGCCCGAGGTGCGAGGGGGGTTCGACAAGCGCGGCAGAGACGTGCCCGGGGGGGATTGAGAAGTGTACATGCCTGGCACGCCTTTTGGGCAGGTGCATGCTCTTCGGGGCTGGTGGCCGGGGGCGATTCGACGGGTGCGGCACGACCGCGGCGCTTCTGCCGTCCGGGAGGAGCCGGCGGCAGGTCGGCCATCTCGGCGTCCACCGGCGGGTCGGCCTCCGATGTACAGGCAAGCAGGGCCGGGCCCGGCTGTGCTGGTGGCGAGAGCGAAGGCTCTCGAGGGATGTGCTCGCGGAAGGGGGCGAAGTGTGCGTAGTCCACGGCGACCGGGAGGGAGAACTCCCGGTCGTCGTCGGGATCGTGTTCGGCCGTGAGCGGCGAGGGGTCGATCCCCAGGAGAGCCAGGATTTCCGGGAGAATGTCCAAGAATGCCTGAACACTGGTGGATGCGGTGACTTCGCGCTGGTAATAGGGTGCCGCGCACTCGGGGCAGGTTTGTCGCCAGCGGCCTTCCTCCAGAAGACACTCGCTGCGGGGAGCCAATATTGGGGGTGTTTGGAATGGGAGGCAGCGGGGGACCGATGTTAGTAGGGTGTGGACGACTGACGGCAGGGGGGGGGGGGGGGGAAGTCGTGGCGGATGCCCATCATGTAGATCGGCTGGCAGTTGTCGATGTCATAGAAGGAGCACTTGTCCTCAAAGGACCGGGAGATGTACTGCATCAGGGAGGGGGGGGGGGAGTTGTAGCCGAGATCCTTGAAGTAGTCCACGGCAAACCGCCGAGACAGCTGGGGGGGGGGGGGGGGGGGGGGGGGGGGGGGGGGGGGGGGGAAGGTTGGTTGTGCTTCTTCTTTCTCGGTCTTCTCGAGATGACGGACCGACAGAAGTGGTGGCCACAGGTCAGGATGGACACAGCATCCTTGAAGGGACACTGGCTGCCATGGGTGAAGGTGGGTGGGGGGCGTGTGTGAGTGAGGGGCTGGCAGACAGCGATCTGCAGGGCGATGGGGCTCGAGTAGCAGAGGCACGCACCAAAGAGAGCAAATCACACTGGAAACTGTGAAGGGCAGTTCCTCACGCATCCGGGCGAAGAGGCGCTCAAACTCTCGGACCTCCTCCGAGATCCCGGGGGCGGGCCGATTCGCGTGCGATGCCATCGCCCTCAAGACTGGGTGCCCCCGATTCATGGGGAAGCTGAGACGGGGGA